CACAGCTGACCCTTCATCACAGCTGACCCCATCACAGCTGACCCCCCATTACAGCTGACCCTCCATCACAGCTGACCCTCCATCACAGCTGACCCCCATCACAGCTGACCCTTTATCACAGCTGACCCCCCATCACAGCTGACCCTCCAGGACGTTTCTGAGATAGTCGATCAAAGAGGAAGAAACTGCTCATCATTCTCAGTCAGAGCCACGTTCTCTACTAGGTTTGAATTGCCAGATACTCAGCTTTTGAGTTAGCTGTGACACTCTCTACCGAGTACACGATCAAATGCCTTCAACCATCACATACCCACTGAAAATTAGGAAGCCATGGGGAAGAAGACAGAGGGGAGTAGAAAGTAACACATAACTCTTGAGTCGACCGGAACCGGAACTCAACAGCCATCTATGAGCAACACATTGAAACCTTGTTCTTGCCCACACCATGATCACAATTTCCTCCAAGCTCAAGTCTATCGATCACGTGCTACTTCCTGAAATGTTCCATCATCAGTTATTTTTGGTACAATGACTCTGTGTATTTCTTCTATCTTATTTGATGCTTCCTGCAACATTCAGTATTTTACCTATGGGATTGCAGTGCAATTTTTTGCATAATTTTTCTTTCTTTTTCTTTTTTCTCCTTTCTTGTTGTGTGCCATTGAATCAGATCCAACTGGCACAGGAGAAGATTGCCCCTCCTCCAGCAGAGCATCTGGTGGATTCGAACTGTGCATCTCTGGGATGTATTTTACCTATGAATCCTTCAGTATTGTAACTCAAAGCTTGCATTTGTTCTTTAGTTCCTTCAGTTTGAAAAATGTCAAGTGTGTTCCTCTCTTTTGGTTTTCTAATGCCAGCTCTTTGCACATTTTATGATAATATTTTGTTTTGTCTTTTGGAGCTATCCTTTGAAATCTTCTGCTTATCATTTTTGTTTTTTCTTCTCTAGGTTAAAGAGCAAGTTTCAGAGAATCCTCTTAAACACATTTAGTCTTTCCATCCCTGCCTGTCTTTTAATGACTTTATGCTTTTTTCATGGGTGATGTCCTTGATGTCATCTCACAATTCCTCTGGTCTTCCATCAGGAGTGTTCAATGTATCAAATCTACTCTTGAAATGGTTTTGAAACTCAGTGGGAATAGACTCAATGTCATGTTTTGGTTCTCATGGGCTTATTTTAATTTTTGACAGCGTCAATTTGAACTTGCATATGAATGAGTAACTGATGAGCTTTTCCACAGTTGGTCCCCAGGTTTATTTTAGTTGCTGGTATGAGCTTCTCCCCCTACTTTTTCCACAAATGCAGTCAATCTTATCTCTGTATATCCTATCACGGAAGCTTTCTGTGTTTAGTCAATATTTATGTTGTTGGTTGGGTTTTTTTAAAAAAAGCTATTTGTAATTAATAAATTATTGATTGTATAAAGTTTTTATCATGTAATCTCCAGACTAATTTCTGTTGCTAAAGTCATACGTTCCAACTATAAGTCCTTTCTTTTAGTTTCCAACATTTACATTGCAGTTACCAATTATTATTAATGCCTCTTGACTGGATGTTCCATCAATTTCAGACTGCAAAAACTGGTACAAATCCTTCCTTTCTTCATCTTTGTGGCTGGTGCGTATATTTGCATAATAATTGTATTAACAGGTCTTCATCTTCCTGTTATGGATATTATCCGATCACTGATGAGACTGTACTTTAGAACAGATCTTGAAGTGTTCCCTTTGACAATGGATGTGATACCATTTCTCTTCTCAGCATAGTAGATCATAGAATATTCTGATTCAAAATGGCCAGTACCAGCCACAGTTCCAGTTCACCTTTTACAACCTCCAACATTCTAAGATTTATACTCTATGCATGCCACATTCTAGTTATTAATGTAGATTTGCAGTTGTTTACCCTCATTTTGTCCCTATCCTATTTCTCTCACCCTCCAGCCACCCACAACTCTCTTAGATTGTTCTTTAAAAAAATCATTTTAATTGTGATTTTGTTGAATTTTTATAGAAAAGTTATATTTTCATTCATTCATTGTTGCCCATTTTACCTCCTCTCCCTCCCTTCCTCCTTCCCCAGTTCACTTTTCTTAAAAAAATACTATTTCATTGCTTGGAATATACCCCAAGAAAATGAGAACTGAGGCTCAAACGGACATTTGTACACCAATGTTCATAGCAGCATTATTCACCATTTCAAGAACATGGAAACAGCCCAGATGTCCAACCACAAACGAATGGATTGAGACATTAAGGTACATTCACACAATGGAATATTATGCAGCACGCAGTAGCAGTGACTTTGTAAATTATTACCTAACCTGGGAGGGACTGGAGAGCATTATGCTGAGATAACTCAGTCCCATAAGGACAAATACTGTATAAAACCATTATTGTAGAATGAGTATGAGGATCCAAGTAGGGAGGGGTGGAAGCAGAGGGGTGAAAATGTGCAGGGGTGGGGGGTGGAGGTGGAGGATTAACCACGGGGTAGCACAATTTGATGGAGGGGTGAAGGAAATGAGAAGGATCTGATGTGAAAAACAATGTATTCGAATTTTGTAAATAAACTAGTATGAAAAATGTAAAAAAAAATGAAGACATCAATTCTTTTTAAAAAAATCATTCATTGTTGCACAATTACCTCCCTCCTTCTCGTAGTCCTCTTTGCAATGTAACTCTTATTCTGGGCTGTTGTCGTACGTATAATGTCTAATCATATGTTCCTTTTAATTACATCTTTCCTTCATTTGTTCCACTCTTACAGCTTTCTTTACACAGCATAGGTGTGGTCTTTGCAAAGAAAGTTGCATGAGTGACCCCAAAAGCCGTCATCTCTCCTTATTTCCCCAGAACTCTTGGACCCTCTCTCAGGGGTCCTAAAGAGGCTTCACACAATGGCCTTTGCAACATTTTTTGTTAGCTGCAGATAGTTGGTTGTCATCCAGCGTATTCAGACTCCTGGCGACCCCAAGTGTGCAAAGCAGAGCTGCTCTAAAAGCATTTGCAAGGCAGGTCAGAAGCAGATTGCCAAACCTGTTTCCCAAGGTGCTTCTAGGGGGTTAAGGCCAACCATTTGGCTCATAACTGCCTGTGCCATTGAGGGGCTCCCTTTGTAACATAACACTGTCAAACTGCATGAAAATTCTGCCAGTAACAAGGTAGCTGTTACAAGCTGGGACGTTTTCTCCTGGGAGTTCTTCAGTGAAGGGCTGCTAAGCGGAGGACCGTTTGCAGCCATGAAAAGGCTTTGCAGGCTGAGAGATCGCACTTCTGAAGTGCCTGGTACTAGGAGACGACAGCCTGTGAAGGAACACATCCTGCAGCAGTCACTTCACTGCCCCCATCCCAGAAGTAAGTAGGCCAATAAACGTGCAGTGATAGACGGGCGAACCGGGGCGGGGAAGGGTGGGTCTGCAGTGATGTGAGATGCCGGCCCAGCGTAAGTGGTTAAGTTTTCACAGAGGCTGAAGAACCCACAGGGATGGAAGGGCTTCTGCAGCGGCGGAGCAGCACTTTGCAAGGGAAAAGAAGCAGACTTCCTGTGGGGGAGGGGGTCCAACTGTGATGGGGCGGGAGGTGGGCCTGGTGCAGGAATAAAGGGATAAATAACTGGGGTGGCCGCTGTGTTGGGGCGCTGCAGCCTGATCAGCTCTGCTGCACCCCAGGCCGCCTCACTTCCTGAAGGTCGGGAGGGTGGAGCCGAGGGGCCAGGATCCCGCACTGACGCGGGCTGTGCGGCGGCAGCAGCTCGGCGGCCCTGCACTGCGGTGCGCGTCTG